GGGTTTAGGGTTTAGGGGGTTCCGACTGCATTCAAGACTAGTTGACGACATTTTTGGACTTTTCTTCAGGATATGTCAACTTTGAAGCCCTCAGAAATTTCAAGTTTGGGCGGGGGAGGCGGGGGGAGCGAAGGGATTGTACTTACTGGGTGTCACTAGGGAATGCGGAATATTATCCCTACATAATCCCTGTCTAACATAGTCCCTCTTTCCCTGCGAGCTCCCTAACTCCTAGTAAGTTTCAGGGATCTGAAGCTCCACAGCTCAGTTTCTCGTAGGCACCTTGCCCTTTTCCCCGTACATACTCGGACAGACCACCCCCGAACAATGTTACTGGGAGTTAGTTAGGAATAAGGGACTATATCATATATGATAAGTCCCTTATTCCTAACTAACTTATAGGGATAGTATCCCTCGCTGGGTAGGTTACGTTTTGAGGGCTCTGAGGTTTGCTGCATGCCTCCGACGATCATTAGGATCTATTATAATATACTGGGTTTCGGTCCCCCTTAAGTAGATAGAATATGGGGTATATGGGGATCTTATTATGATATATCCAAAGCCGTATTCTATCTACTTAAGGGGTACCATATATATATATTGTGGTTTTAGGGTATATATTGGCGTTATATTGGGATAATGGAAAATAGAATGGATACTACTTTTGAGGGCTTTTGCCTTGTCACCACAACGCCCGGCAACTGCCTTTATGTTCACTACAACATCTCCTTTATTGCAGAGGAGCCAAAGTTCCGCTGCAGTCAGGCTTGGATGTTTTCGCAACGGAGCCCATTCCCAAGGATGATCCAATCCTGAAGGTTCGAGACGGTGCAGGAAAGGGTCGTTTGGGGGTGGATCATGCCATGATGACAAGATTTACATGCACGATGCGTGTGAAACACCAATCATTCCACATCTTCACACTGCTTTTGGGAGAGGTACCCAGAACTTACGGCAGGGGTAGTTTCTCAGGGCCTCTACTTCAAGTTTGCATGTACGAAGGTACCTCCGTTATTTGATGCCTTTGAGAGGTCGAAGTCCAAGCACGGTCAAAGTTGAATCCAGGCAGGTCAATGTAGGTTGATGCGTTCATGCTTTGTGCCCACGCGGGTAGGCTTTCAGCTTTGGTGTCGTGCCTTCATCCTTCTGCCATAGTCTTACTGGAGCTTCAGGGGGGTGGGGGAGTGAAATATTGGGATTATGATGCGAATCGATTCTCCCACTCCTCCGTAATTAAGCGCCAGTAAGTAATACAGTGTAAAGTAAGTAATGCAGCAACAAAGTGGCCAGTAGTGTGTCAGGCCTGGCAGAGCAAAATTTCTATTGGCAATACCGTAACACACAAAACGATTGAAATGGGAGATAGCAGGCGCGATATCATGTGAGCTGTAGTCTAAACTCCTTAAAGGGGGATTATATAGGGGACTTCTGTAGGGGTTATTAAGGGGGATACTATGGGCTGGGCCAATCATTGTCTAGCCGGTGCTTGTCAAGGCTCCTCGGTACGTTCTGCCCTCAAACCCTAAACCCTAAACCCCTAAAACCAAACCTCTCAATCCCTAAACCCTAAACTTGCGGAGGGTCAGGCAGGTACTTCCGCCCAGCATTTTGGCTCAGGACAGGTTGAGGATACAGACTTGGGTTGCAAAGCATCCATAGGCCTGCCGTCGAGGGCGGCACAAAACTCCAAGTGGTACTTGGGATCCCAATATAGACTCCAAAATACGACACAAAATACGACAATCCTTACTATTGGGACGCCCCCCAAAAATGCCTTATTTTTGGGAAACCCAAATCAAGTGTAAAGTCAAAAGAACCTCGGGCTTCTACGATGTCAGGGAACCTCTATACAAATGTATATATAGATGGAGTTGTTTGCAAAGGTATGTCACCTAATTCCAGGGTCTGGGCCGACCAGGGCCTGGACCCTAAGCCCTAAACCCTATACACCATATAGACCTTAAGAGGGCCCCCACCCTGTAATAGTGGATATAAGGGATAATAAGGACTTATATTAGGGGCCTCTTATATCCCTAGTATACCACTATTACAGGGTGGGGGGTCCTCCTAATATAGACCTAAGAAAGATACCACCCACAAGGGCAAGCTGCGAAGCTTGAGCGATGGCTGGGCAATCTCCTACAGGGACATTTGGCCGCCATCGCAACTAGTTCCAGTTTGGGCTGAGTTGGTATTAGGGGTCCCTCGTTTGTGTACCTGATATAGACCGCAGATCATTATAATCCTTATCATGGGGACCCTCAATCTGGTATCCCTATTTGTAGGAAACTCCCACGCGGGTCCACGTGCGCAATAGCTTGGCGGTGGACTAATTTGGGAAGAGTCCTTGGGGCAAACTCCCAGAAATCTGCTGCAACTAGGACCCAAAACAGAAAACCAGCTCGCGGTTGCTCCATGTGGAGATTCCAGGATCCTCTCGAATAGCACCTCGATTAGCTATTCAAGATTGCTGGCCCCCTGTAAGCCCTTGCAGCATCCTAAACAGATAATTAAGACTCTTTTGAGAAACCCAAACCCTAAACCCTAAACCCTACCCTGGAGCAGTAAACTCCTCAGCCCAAAGCAGCCAAAGACCAAAAGGGTTTGTTTATAAGGTGTAGGGTTTAGGTTTAGGTTTTTTAGGGTTTAGAAGTTTCAAGCCGTATTTAAAAAGATCCCTCAAGCGTATAAACCCTAAACCCTCATAACCCATGCCTAATCTAGCTTCTACAACCCCTCAACCAGATAGGCATGAACCCCGTAGAATCCCTAAGCCAAAAAAACAACATGGTAGTTTCCCTCAATAATAGGGGGCCCCAATACAGACCCCAAAATTCTATAGTCAATATTACTAGGACCCCCAAAGGCCCTAAACCCTAAACCCTAAAATCCCCACATCAAAAACTGAGGCCGCTTCAGCCCCGCGGAGCCCTTTTGGGTGGATCTCACATGGCGAACTGTGAAGCCGCCATCGCCAAAGAAGGAGCTCCGGAATGAGGACATCTTAGGGCTGGTTCTTTAGGGTTCAGGGTGTAGGGTGTAGGGTTTAGGGTTCAGGGTTTAGGGCCTAAACCCTAAACCCTAATTTAGGGTCTCAGGCTCCGGATTTTGGGGGTTAGGATTTAGGTTTATGGTTTCGGCTGGGGCTGAGCCAGCTTCTAGGCTAGGGGATGAATCAAGGAAGACTTGAGGTTGAGGGCTTGGGGGCTTAGAGTTTTATGCAGGCTGCGCGTCAGGACTTCCATGGTTTTCGGCATGAAAATGGCACTCCCCGTCTTGGAGCAAAAGACTTGTCACCCAACCATGTTGTCTAGAGTTCAAGCAGCAGAACAGTAGCAGAGCCAAAGAGGAGCCCCTTTCCCCAAAGTCGGAAAGCCGGCCGTCCAAGTCGAAAAAGGCGGAGCCCCTCAAAATGGCTCCTGCACCCCGGCAAGTGCTCCATGCAGCAAGCCTTCAGGGAACCTGTAAATGTGCCGGGCATTGTGTGGGGAAGTCTACAGTACGGATCGGGGCTTTAGCATCGGAGCCAGATGTTGACAAGCCGTTAAGGGATTCCCCGCGGCTTCCCCACAGCTACAGGGTTCTAGCGCCAGGTCCAGCATCCAGGGCATGCGCCATGCCATGAAGCTCGTAATTAGTAGGTTAATATGGGAAGGGGGTTCTTGGGAAATATTTTGCTCTACATGAAATGAAGACCAAGGGCTTGCTAGAAAGAATATTTGACTTTTCCCAAGCCGGGGACAGGATTCACAGAAGGTAAGGGTCTGTTTCTCTACGATCCCCTTACTATCAAAAGCTACACAAAAACCTAAACCCTAAACCTTCGACAGAATGAATACTTTAATCCTTTAGTTATAATAATAACCCCTATATATCCCCAATAATAACTCCACTCTAACTCTAAGCCCGAAATATCCTAAACCCTGAAAACCCCTAAACCCGAAACCCCTCAACCTTAAACCCTAAATCCCTAAACCCTAAACCTTCAACTTGTAGCACCAAGGTAAAGGAGCTCGTCCCCGACATCGTGCGCGAAAAGGTGTTGCAACTCGCTGGGGATGAGCTCAGTCTGAGCAAGGAGATGACTTCCTAAAGGGTGTTTATAGGGTTTATGGTTTATATAGGGTTTAGGGTTTACATGGGTTTAGGGTTTAGGGGTTAGGGCGGGGTTTAGGGCTTTAGAGTTTTGGAGCTTCGGGGTTTTAGGGCTTTAGGCTTTGGGGTTTAGGGTTTTATGGTTTTGGGGTTTTCTTGCTCGGGAATCTGGGAATATAGCCCCTAAATAATCCCCACATGATATATTCCCGCCGTATTCCCACTAACCCCGGTAAGATTCGTGAGTATTCTCCCACAAACAAACATGGAACTACCGCAGACACTACAGTCTTTGAATAGAGACCTCTGTGATATTCAATGAGTTCCGGGGAGGGTCCTGGGGAATTGTAGATTGTCGTCGAAGCGAAAGGTTCTGGGTTGAGAACTTCAAGGGTTTCAGTTGATTTTGGGGGTCGACAGTGCAAACATGGGATGCGCTGGGAGTGGGTCTAGAAAGGAGCAGCCAAATGAGCTATAGTCTAAACTCCTTAAAGAGGGCTATACAGGGGAGCATATAGAGTTCCCATTATAGGGCTTATTCAGAGGGAATAGTAGGAGTTTAGACTATGGCACAAATGTATTGCCTTGCAGGATCTTGAGGCAACGACTCTTCATTGAATTCCGCCTCTACACCCCTTCAGTTAACAACTCCCTGATGGTATCCTGTCAGGACGCCCGTGGCGCCATAGTCATTGAAATGTTGTGGGGCGCCAGCCAGCAACTTGCCGTTAAAGGGGCCCTAAACCCTAAATATCCCTAGATAATATATCGTTTGTCCATTTTCTTTTCCATTATTGCCAAGTCCCCCATAAGACCCTGAAAAAGTAACCCGGTTATTCAAGGGAGAACCTAGACAAGCGGGTAGTATAGGGGGGAAGTAGGGGAATCCCTGAAGCTGGCAATTTGTGCTGTTGCTGTAGAACGGAGCTGATTCATAAACCCTTTTGGGGCCTGGAAACTACAATCCTGTAGAACTTCAACGCATCCACTGCTGAGAATGAAGGCCTCAGCTTTCATTCATTCATGGCATATAAAGCTGGCGTGGGTTTCAAAGAGACAGAGAGAGACTCTAAGTTGGTCTTTAAGCTAGCTATCCAAGCAGTTTACAGTAAAGGGTCAATAGATCTGTTATAGCGAAAGCAGGACACATATGTCGACGCTGACTCCAATCATGGGGAAGCAATCCCCATGCAAGCACTTCCTGCGGTGGTTTGAGATTCATCCCCCCCAAGAATCTCAGGGACATGCAGAGCTTCTCATCACATACACATACTCTGCCTGACGAGTCGCCTTGACAGCTCAGTTGCTAACATGTTTCAAGACTTCTAATCGGAGCCTATTCCTGTCCCGGCTTCAATGATCCCGTTATTATTGCAGGGTGTTACCTGCATATGGGTGGTTGTTGAAATTCTGGTCCCTTTTTGGATCCCTATTATAATACGGCACCTAATATTTAGGGTACAAAAAA